TACTTATGGCTTATTATTAGAGTCTCCAATACAATAGTAGAAGCTTATCAATAAATCAGTTATGATATTAACATACAAAATTCTTAATACTGCTTCAAAAGCAGTTCAGTTTTTCACTTATATTTACTAAGCTTTTTTATTCTACTACTACTATATTGTATACTCTACTGCTATACTATATATCTATTGTATAAATGCTGAAAATTTTCATGTAAAATATGCCACGCATGTGTACACACACACACATACATGTATACAGTATATGAAGTGTATGAAAGATTTCAAATTCCTTCAATTAAAAATAAACATTTCTGAAAAAAAGTTTTATATGACAGTAGGACTTTAAAAAATCAATTAGATGATAACATTTAAAAAACTTCCAACAGTTAAATAAACAGTAAAATAAACGTTTATCTTATAAAAGCCCTATAATTTTTATAGGAAACATTTTTTCCAGAAAAAATGCTGCTTATTTTTCAAGATATTTAAGAAATTTAGGACTTTTTATACACCGACCTTACAATTTTACACGTACGCGCGCGCATATATATATATATATATATACAGAGTGTGCCAAAAGTCTGGATACACTCAAATATCTCATAAACGATGCATTTTAGAAAAAAATATTTCTTACAAAAGTTCTAAAAGTTAAAAAGACGTATTCAACGATAATAGTTATTTGACCTAGGATGGCGTTGTCAAGATCTAGTCAAGATCAACATAAATTTTTGAAATGGAACTCTCCCTTTTCATTACATATTCTTGTAGCTTATCTCGAGAGCTTTCCAAACACTATAATTAAGTTCATTTTTATTAAGTACTTTGCGAATTATAAGGCTTGAAAGTTACAGTATCGCCGACATTAGCATTACGCGAAGTATTCAACCGACAGCTAAAACCTGTTGAATGTTGTTCAGAATCATGTCCTGAATAATATTTGTTAAGATCAAGATCACTAGAGATTGTTATTATTGTACTCTTATTTTCATTTTTCCACTGAAAATTGATTTTTATATAAAATACCTCTCACCTAAATCTTAATAAAAACACACTTATTCGATATGTTTTTATTCAAAATGAAAGAATCTGGCAAAAAAAATGCGGCGGTCGGCTTCGTGAATCGTGTTATTAAACGTTAAGTTGGAGACTTTAGGGATTAAGATATCTCTCATCCTGATTCGATACAGCTCTATGTATACGTTCTACATTAATTACACAAATTCATTACTTTAAAAACACATTTACTGTTTTAAAAACACAAATTCATTGCTTTACAAACACAAATTCACTGCTTTAAGCACACAAATTCTTTGCATTAGCAGTGAATTTGTGTTTTTAAAGCATAAGTGAGTTTATGTAATTAATGGAGAATGATACATCGAGATGATAAATCGAGATTCGATACATAGAGCTGTATCGAATCAGGATGATATATATATATATCTTAATCTCTAAAGTCTCCAACTTTAACACTTAATAACTCGATTCACGAGGCCGAATGGTTTTTTTTTTTTTTTTTACCAGATTCTTTCATTTCGAGTGAAAACATATTGAATAAGTGTATTTCTATTAAGATTTGAGGTAGGGAGGAAAAGGGGGAGAGGGTTATTCTAAATAATTACCAAGTCATTTATTTTCTTCTCATAGAACTTTAAGAATTTTTTCAGAATTTTTTATCAACTTTTTAGTATCACATTTTCTTATTTTTACCAACATAAGAAAATACGGTACTAAAAAATTCTGAAAAAATTCTGAAAAAAATTCTCAGAACTTTATGAGAAGAAAATAAATGATTTTTGTCTCTTGCGGTTTTTCTGTAAAGTTGATAGTATTTGAGTAAAAAATTATTCGAGACCAATATTTGGCAATTTTTAGTAATTACTATCTTGTCAACTATTGCGAAATTTGCAAAATGGTAGAGGAGATTTTTCAACTCAGTTTAGTCCGCTCTATCTGCAGAAAAAACGATTGGCCAAAACTTATGAGATACCTTGTATGAGATATTTGTATAAAATAAATATCTTAAAGGGTACAATTTTGTACATATACATACGTCATTCCTTTCTTTGCATCCTCAGAGGTTTGTTGAATATACTCCATTTTATGTACTTGTTACTGAAAAAAAAACTGAAAATTGGATAAAATATGCTCCATGTGCTCTTCTCGTAACAGGCTCTGCCTGTCTTTTTAATCCTCCAATTAAACTTGGAAGATGAAAAGAGTATCTCCACACTAGATTGTATTCTAGATATAAAAATTCGAATTCTTCTTCAACAACGCTTGAATAAAAATCTTTCTTTGTCTATAATTATTTACAACTCTATCTCTATCAAAAAACGTAAAGAATTAACTAACAAAATCTTAAGTCACCTTCGCTCCCCTAACTTCGTTCATCTAAAACCTAACCTAAAAGTTGCAATGCGCCACGAAACAAAACAATGAAAAGAAAGTTTCTTCTCTTCTTCTATATTCTTCTTCTTCAAGGCCCTCTGGGGTGCATTCCAAAACTCGTGTTGACTCTCTCAACACGTAGAACGAAAAAATCGTGAACATTACCGACGGGATTATGGATATTGGCTACGTAGTTCAACGTCTATATTTTGTGGACATAGAGGCGCTTTGAAATAAGATAACAGCCTAAATTTCGCATCCCGCGGCGGATATGGTCGCTCGCTCTCGCTCTCAAGGCTTCTGTCTGCTTTGAAATTATGGTTTATGTAATTTCACTTTGATGACACGAAAAACTAGGAAAAACAGCTGGCCCCGCTGTCATCGGACCGAGACGACGAATAAAGCTCGCCACGTAAAAAACATTGGATAGCGACATGAAAAAGAAAGCGATATGAAACATGAAATCGGCGTTAATCGTTTGTTGCAGACGAGCGAGATCACGAGGTATTTCGCGGAGGGCTGCTGAAATTAGAAATCGGAATCCCGAGGATGGGCTCCGGCCAGAGCGCCCGCAAGTTGACCATCTCGAATGAGGAGGAAGTCGGGGTGATCAAGGTGTCAAACGCGATCGTACAGCGTCTCGCCCAGGGGGAGAAATCAAAGTCGCATAAGCCACCGCCGGATGAGAGACCCGTCACACCGATCCAGCACCCGGTGCCTTCCACGGCGACTGCTGCGTCTCACACCAGTGAAGTGATGCCTGGGCAGCCAGTGTATCATTATCCAGAGTTGACAGTGTCCGCTCTTCAAATGCAGCAGCAAATGGAAGAGGAACTGAAGCGGCAGGATCAGTACTGGCAAAAGCGTCTACGAAATATTGAGGATGGTTACCAAAAAATCAATCGCGTTTTAGAGGAAGAATACAAGAAGGCAGCTAACGAGTCCTCTGTCGCTAAGTCTCGTGAGTTTCTTTCGATTTATTTCCTAATTTCATCTCCAATCATATATATCAAGTCGCTGCTTCTGCTGAGAAATCATAGTCAAATGTGAGGAATAGACTATGATTGATCGGCTACTTATGGCTTAAGACTTAAAACTTGGGTAATAGTTTACTACAGAAAGTATATTCAACAAACCATATGATATTCAACTATGAATGCCAGTCCAAGATGTTTAGATTTTAGATATTAATGCATAGATAAAATTAATTTCTGGATAATTTACTATTTTGATTACTAAATAAAAAAATTATACTAAATATATACAATACTTTAGTTCAAGATAAAACTAAACGAAACTTTTATACATTGTGATATAAATAAGTTTTGCAATTTAACA